ATAATATTATAATATAAATAATAATAAATAATAAAAATAAAAAATAATTAATTAATAGTAAATAAATAATAAAAAGAACAACAAAAAAGTGTCCGACTCGTGAATCATGTATCATAAGAGGAAACAAAATAGTTAATGATGAGCATAGACATCAGAAACCATTCCACTAATCTAAACAGATGGCGTTAATGTGTTGACCCACAAACTTACTACTAGATTAAACAGGCTGAGAGAAAACAGTACAATAGCTCTAAAGTCGCCTTGGCTAAAGATGCCTACTTTGAATAAAACAGCATTCCCAAATAAATGTCAATAGAAGTTACCAACCGGCATCGACCCAGGAATTGCGGCATCAAAGGGTGCAATCTGTGTGTTTGGAGCGGCTGAGAACGAGTAGGGTGCATCAGAGAAGAGTTTGGTGCGTGCACCTGTTAGTTGAGCATGAATCTCTAAGCCAATTGTAGAAACGTAAGGAACTGCTCCATCGTGCAAAGAACAAAAGTTGAAAGAAACGCGAGTACTTGGATATGCTGTTCGAAGGAACAACTTCAAGTATGATGACAGCATAAGTGGGGCCCAGAAACAGCTTCTCGTGCTTTTATAATCCACCCTAATGGATGTTCGGAGAGAGAAAAGACAGACTTTAAAGGCAAAGTTATTTACACAAACAGATCAAGCTTGGGTCGCCGGTAACTGAGTCCGATTACTTTAGGTACGGACAAAAACTTCGAAACTTCGAAAAGGCTCCTGGTGAACGGTCGAAGGAAGAAAATAGACAAAAATGAGTGGTAAACAGAGAGAATGGTCGGCTTAAACCGGTCTTGGCTTAATGCCCCGTTGCGCAGATATCAGCAGCTTCCAGTTTTCTGGAACTTACATTGGCCCTCTTTCCAAAGGTAATGTAGTAGCACCGGTTAGCTAAACTAACGCTACTCAGATATCTACAGTTAATGGCTGCTTTGTGCACTGCACCATGCTGGCTATGGATGTCAAATCTTCCTGTCAACTTCCCCTGGGAGAGTACTTACTTACTTGCGCTTGGTACGGCTGCGATCATGCCTGAGCTAGCCGGCCTCGATTACGTCTCGAGCTGTACCTCTACATGTGTCTGCTGATTTTCAAGGTTAATATAAATCAAGTCCTTTTCTCTTGTAGTTGATCTGTGGGAACTTATGTCTCCCTTAAGCTCAGTCCGGAAAAGAAACGAAAACCCTGATTATTTCGCAAGGGTCCGTAATCCTGTATTAGTTCTACTCGTAAGATTGCTTTAGAAACACAATAAATTTTCTAAATACACTTCGCCAAATTATGACTGGCAATATGCCCCCTTATATATCATTACAAAGGTAACTATAAGGCAGTCTACATAGAATATACATAACAACTACTTTGGAGACCCTAAGAGTGTGCAAAAGAAATCGTTATTTTCAAAAAACACCAAGTAGTAAACTTTTAGTATAGAAGGATTTTATACTCTGATGCAAGCATTTTCAAAAGCTGGTTTTCATAAATCGCCTGCAAGAAATGGATGTTGATCCAATTCCTTCACAGAAAACATATCACACTGCATGATACCGAAGCGGTGACTGGTGCCGAGTAAAACCCACAAAAAGCACCGGACGGAGTATAAATGGAAGCTCAGCATGCCGTGGCGAATGAAATAATTTTAAATGGCCTTCGTTGCCACTATTACTACTGCTACCACAAGTGGTGATTGGAAGCTGTTCCTTAACGTCATTCGTTCCTCTTCACTACAGCTGCATGCTCGGCCATCCGAGCCCGTAGTAGTCTTACAAGTTTCCCCGTCGTGGTTGCTCCACCCAGAAGTGTACCAGACCCAGCGAACGATTCCAGAGGTTTCTTGCCGTGGCAGCGGGTCGTTCGGTCTTATGACCTGTGCTGGGAAGACGGGTTGCCCGCTAGCCTAGCTGCTGGCTACCCAGCGCGTCCACAGGTGGCGGGTAGTGGAACGGCCTTCAGTGAAGGTTAGCTACGAAATAAACAGACCCAGGTCTGACGAATAAGCAGTCGCGGACCAGCAGCGACAGTGCTACCAGGATGAGAAGGGCTGAGGCCTGGCATACTGGAAGCCTTATAAAAAAGCCGCAAAGCCCGATGCCGGCATTGTGACATGGCGACCGTAAACCGCCATTGAATAAGGTTGCTTGCCACCGCAGCCTTGTTGTTGGGTTTTTAAGCCAAAGTGCTAGAGGAGACAACCTCGAACAAACAATCCAAGCGGCTGTTGGGGACCCGCCTGTATCCGGAGTTCCCAAGAAAACTCATGAAATATGTACGACAACAGTATTACGACCCATGCTACGGCGTCCGAGGGAACCGACGCGTTCCGCAACCCTGGTCCTGTGGTGCGGGCAAAAGATATGCGAGATGGACTACTCAATCTGAGACGGACTCTTCGTATTGGATGCTGAATTGTGCGAACGTTTCTGGACCCCGATACCCAAAGTCTGACCGCGCGCAGCCTTAATCAGTACAACGTGGGCGTCTGCTGCCCGTCCGAAGTTCGACTTCCTGACCCAAGATGTCGAGAAATAAAGATCCCTGGAGTCGAATTACACTTCATCCTATACAACAGTGGCCCGCGCGACTCTTTTTGTAGACACGGTATGGGGACCGTCCTCTCACAACAAGCGGACCTCGCGTTACATGATTGGGAACCAGGCAATGACCGGATGGCGTACGTGCGACTGAAGGGTCACTTTACGAACATCTCCATCGTCTCTGTATACGCACCAACCTCAGATGCCGAACAGCGTGATAAAAAGGCGCTTTACTCGCAGTTGCAGGCGTTATTTGAAAGACTCCCTCACCGGAGTCTGCTGACTGTCGCCAGGGATTGGAATGGTCGGACTGGACCTGGCGACTCTACAGACAGCCATCTCTTTGGCCGTTTTGGGCTTGGTTCTCGGTGTAAAAATGGCGAAAGATTGCTGAACTTTGCTGATCAGGACCGACTGCTTGTCACCAACACGTGTTTCCAACATCGCAAGAAACATCGGCTGACCTGGTATTCAAACAACGGTCATACAGCCAGTCAGATTGACTACATTCAAGTCAGCAAGGTTCCGCCGCTGGGTTCACGGTAGCAGATCAATGAGTGGTGCCGAGACTGGTAACGCCCATGGGTCGGACCATGTCCTCGTTCGTACACGCTTGAAAGTTCACCCCTCATCCGTGCCAAAAATGTCACGTCCTAGACACCTCGATGTCACGAAAATCCGGCAAGCCAGCACTGCCGATGCCCTGAGCAGAGAAATCATGTCCTGTTTTACGACCCGAGCTGACTGAGAAGTCAGTAACCAGTGGTCGTCACTGAAAACGTCAGTTTATGGTGCGGCTGAGAAAATCTAATGATATAAACAGCGATGCCGCGGTGACTGGACCAGCGGAAGAACCTTTCAGTTGTCTGCTAAGACGGCTCGAGCCAGGTCCCATAATGATGATTTCTTCCGCTAACTTTGGAAGATGACGGCAAAGTCGGCCAAGGCTGACCGGAAGCAATTTTGGGCTCAAATTGCAACGCCCACTGAAGAGGCCTCGAACGTTGGTGACACTCGAAAACTCTACGAACTTACCAGCCAAGTTTGTGATGAGCCCTCTACACTGAGTGACTCTGTTCGCGACGTGAATGGCGGCTTTATTGTTGACAACTCGGCCAAAGTCGAGCGCTGACCTGAGCTCAATCTCAACTTCGATGCCCAACCCACCTCGCCCTTTCTCTCGTCTGCAGCGGAGTTTCTTCCCTCTCCTACCTATGCAGCGCCAAGCGACCCCCTTTCTGAAGTATAGGTCACCGACGGCATTCAAAAGGTACGCAACAACAATGCACCCGGAGAGGACGGTATACCCGCTGAAATCTAGAAGTCTTGTGTCGACACTCTGGCGCCCTGGCTACACGAGTTGATTGAACAAGCGTGGAGAAACGAGGTTGCTCCTGATGACCGGGAAGTAGGCATCCCTGCACCTATCCCCGAAGAAGGGAGATAAGACGAGATGTGGGAATTATTGCGGCATAAGCCTCATGGACCTTGCTGCGAAGGTCCTCGCTATTGTTCTACATAGGCGATTCCAGGCTGTGCGGGACTCCAGGACGAGGCCCAGCCAAGCCGGATTTCGTGCTGGACGTGGATGTGCGGACCATGTATGCACATTAAGGCGCATTCTCGAATTTTGCCATAGTAACCAGCAACCGACGGCGGTCTGCTTTGTTGACGTTGTCGCCATGCTCGATTCCGTTCATCGTGGGTCTCCGTGGCGGATAATGGCACTACATAGTGTACCGGCAAAAATCATCACCATGATCAAGGCCTTTTATGGCTCCACCACCGCGCGAGTCCTGGTCCGCAAAAACCTTTCCCAACCGTTTGGTATTCGGTCTGGCATTCGACAAGGTTGTATCCTGTCGCCCCTTCTGTTCAACTACGCTACTGACTGGATTCTCGGGAGGGCCCTACACGAAGGTGACGGTGTTGAGTTTGCACCCCGACACCGACCGACTGATCTCGACTACGCCGATGATATCGCCTTACTTGTTTCAAGTTTTGTTGATCTGCAGTCTAAGGTGTCACAGGTGAACTAGGTCACTAAATCGATAGGTTTAATCATAAACGCTGGGAAGACTAAAGTGTTTTCAAGCTGCATACCTGACCACGAGAAGACACCTTTCGGGATTGATGGCTGTCAAGTTGAAGAGGTAGACAGTTTTAAATACCTCGGTCGGGGCTGCTGCCGAATGGGCAGAGTAGGGATGACATTATCTCCCGAATTGATGCTTTCCGACGGGTTTTCTAAAGCCTTAGGACATACCTATGTGTCCGACGCGACATCTCCGACGCCAGTAGGATTCGCGTGTACCGTGTTTCTGTCTGGTCTGTCCTTCTCTATGGTTGTGAATGCTGGGCTGTGCGCATGGAGAACGAGCTGAAGCTGGAGGTATTTGACCACCACTGCTTGAGGACCCTCCTTCGAGTGAAGTACATCGACTTCGTCTCAAATGAGAAAGTCCGCGCTCGTTGCAACAACATCACAAGGACAACCCAGGCCATCTAAGAAAGACGACTGAGGTGGTTTTGGTATGTTCTTCGTCGTCCACCTCAGGAGCTCAGTGTTACTACCCTTAACCGGGAATCGTTACCCCATTGGAGGCGTCAATGAGAGGGGTCAGTTGAAAACCTGGTTCGACACAGTTCGTCAACACATGGAGGTGGTTCTTGGTCCTTCGGTATTCGCTTTCCGTCGTTGGCGAAGAGAATGGGTTGAGTTGTCCAGAGCTGCTGCTGCCAATCGTCACTCGCGGACAGATACAAATCGGGACATCATCGAGATCGGCTAGATCAGGCATGATCGCAGCCGTAGCAAATACAAATAAGTAAGAATGACCTATAGCACCTGCTGGCTGCTTCCGGTTTGTGTCCAACTAAAAATCCGAGTGGTGTAAGTAGGCAGCTGACGGTTTCCGGGATGCTCTTTACGTATGGAAACGCTCGCCAACATTTTTGGCGGTTGAAGTTTTTCCCTCGTCGCGTTTGCGCATGCAGCGTCTGACGAAGTTGCGCGGGTACAAATTCGTTCTAAGCACCCGCCGGATATATCGTAGTTTAGCAACCTTGGCTTTCGGTTCACTGCAATGCGTCTCGACATGCTGGTATAGCGTCCTTACGCAACTGCGTCTGTGGTTGATTGAGTAGTTGCCGTTGAGGCCCAGTACTTGCGTCGTATTAGTCGTTTTCCTAAACACCTTGGTTTCTAGGCCACTACTGTCTTTGCGGAAAACGAGGACGTCAAGGAAGGCCGGTTGGTTATTTTTCTTCCCTCTCCATCGTGAATCGTATGTCCGGGAAGACGCCGTTGAATTCCAGCGTCTGATCCCGTTCGATGACGTCGAAGATATTACCTATATACCAAGCCCAGGATTACAGTCTGTGATCTCAAAGGCCAGTGACACCAACCGTCGCAGGACCGCCTCAGCTAAGAGTCCCGAAATCGGTGAACCCATTGGCGTGCTTTTCACCTGCTCACAGATTGTTCCATCAAACGTGGAGTACGTTTTGGGACAGAATTTCAGGAGTTGGAGGACTTGCGTGACCTAGGCGCATTTGCCATCTAGAGGGAATACCACTGTGACAGAAAACAGAAATCCCTAAGGGTCTCGGCGTTTGAATAAAGAACACTCGGACGCCCTCTACACACTGTTTTAAGACGGTCAGGGCTTCAACTTTAATGTGCTGCATCAACCAACGAAAGTCCGACCGTTGACTTCGACTATGTCTACCGCATGCTTCAAAGTAGGATGAGAGTTGGAACGGTGACTCGCGCGTGATTTAGTTTGTACTGATGGCAGACTGGGGTAGCATCTACCCCACTCTCCTCCCCTACCTTGGCCCGGTGTCAAAATAGGGTCATGAAGACCGCAGACGGGAGAGGACGCAGGTAGCTGTCACGACGTAAATCTGCACCTAGACAAACCACCACATCACCAGGTTCACAAGAAGCACTTGACCACGATTTTAACCAACAACAATAACAATAGGGGTTGGGGGCAGGAGTCCAATTGGCGCGACGTGAGCCGGCAACTGTGTCTGCCGCCACACCCTGATGTTGGTATTTGTGATGCGTGCACATTCCCGGAAACGCCTGCCGGACTCCGATCTAGCCCCCGTGCTGGTACAGCGCATCCACTGCGTGGCCCGTGTTAAGGGCATGTTAAGATACTCTAACACCCTGATAACATCACCATCGCCTAGATACGGTCCTTTCAGCGGCTAGTTCTGGCTGGCGGACCGTTGTCCGCAGTCCCTGTGAACACAATCTGGAAGGCAATCCCCTAGCGCGCTTGGTTTCAGGGGTTGGTCAGACCATTAGACGCACACAGGCCAACAAATCGGAGCTGGTTGAGCAGGGCGAAACAGAAACTGCTACCAGCTGATAGCATTAATGTTATCAATTGTTATCAGGGTAGTGTATCGTTAAACACATAACTTAGTGAGGCAAAGGCTTCATGATAAAACCTAATCGCTGAGGAAATCTATGTTCACCAAAATTGACTAATCTCTGGAATCTGACGGATAAATTCGCCCGAAACCGAAGACACATGCAAAACCCGTTTAGGCACAACCAAGTGACCAAATAGAGATATGTGAGCAGCCTACACAAACAAATCTACGAGAAATCAAACATAATAGATTGTGAACTAATCGACCTCAGATTCTAATAGAAGTTGCCTCATAAAATACAGTCACTGTGGATTTTAAAATGCAGCGGTCACTAAGGACGTAGGTCAGCTTGTGATTTTCTGGAGTCAGCAACACACTAGATTTGTAGGCCTATGCACGTATTCAACGATTCTCTTCTTATTCTGTTGCACACCTGAACTTTTCTGTACTGATTTGAGTGTTCTCAAATGCACACCACCGCAGATTTTGGTTTTCGATAGCACCTATGTTGCCTGCATCTGTTACATGGTGTCATTGCTTCATTCATGCCCCTCAACACTTTTTGGTCAATTGCCACAACCAGTTTTTATTTCTCGGTCTATATCGCCGGGCATGAATTTGGTCGAGTAGCAGACCCCACTTACCGACTTCAGCTTAAAAATTTCGAAACTCTACCCAGGGCTTGTCAGTGAGCTTTCTGTGCCTTTGTAGATTCTCTTTTAAACGTCATTTAACACTGGAACACTTCTTATCGATTGGAAGCTGGCACATATTACTCCGCTATACAAAGCATGTAGCAGGGCATCGAAGACTAATTACAGGCCCATAAGCTTGACATGCATTCTCTGCAAAGTTGTGAAAGAGAATCATGAAGAGTGAATTGGTGAAATTCCTGGAGGCTCACGGCTTGTTATCGAACTGCCAACATGAGTTCCGGAAGGGGAGATTCTGCACGACAAACTTGCTGCAATCTCTCCGGATCTGGACCCGATCGCTCGACGACAGTCATGCGGTCCACATAGATTACATTGACTTCCAGAAGTCTTTCGACACTGTGCCACACCAAAGACCGCTACAGAAACTGAAAGAATAGGGATCAGAGACGACTTCCTCAACTGGATCGGAAACTCCTTTGTGGGTCGACACCAGTTTGAGTGCATCGGTTAAAGCACATCAAATCTTGCTACGGTCGAGAGTGATGTCCCCCAGGGGTCAGTACTGGGACCCATTTTGATCCCTATGTAAGTGTACGATACCACAAGAGCTTTAGACCGCGAAGTAGCAATGTTTGCCGATGACATGACCATATGGATTGTAATTGGGTGTCCTGCCGACTAAGATAGGCTGCAGATGAACCTAAATTTGTTGGAGGAGTGGTCAAACCTTTGGCTTCTGCGGTTTGACGTTAGTAAATGTTGCATACATCGCCCTGGCAACACAGCCAGATCAGCTAGCACAAGAGACTACTTTCTGGGCGGCGCAGCCTTACGAGACGTCGAAGCCCAAAAGTACCTCGGTGTGCTGACGACGAGCTCCCTAAAGCCACCCGCTCATTTTTCGAGAATGGCAAAAAATGTAATGTCCGTACCATATACCATAAAGCGTGCGTTTATGAATTCTGACGAAGACTTTTGGAGCATTCGTTCGGCCGCTCTTGGAGTACGCCATACAATCTGGAGACCGTGGGCGGTTGAAGATCAAAACTGCCTCAGAGGAGTGCCACGAAGATGGTTAGGTGTC